TGTCGGTGTCCAGCCTGGATTGGAGGTGTGTCGAGCATTATTACATTCCACACCTGGCTGTCTTGAAGTCACCTGAGGCGAAAATACGGGTGGTGTTTGACGGTTCTGCTCCTACCTCGAATGGTGTGTCTGTGAACCAATGTTTGCACGCGGGTCCTAAATTGAACCGGGACATTGTGGACATTCTCACAGACTTTCGGTTACACCAGGTAGCGTTCGTCGCAGACGTCAAAATGATGTTTCGCCAAACCATGATACATCCGGATGACCGTCGGTATCAGCTGATTTTGTGGCGTGAGAGCCCAGATGAGCCGATGGTCACATACGAACTTAACACGGTGACGTATGGACTTAAGCCAAGTCCGTATTTGGCAGTACGTACGCTGCGAGTTGGCCGCACAGGAAAGGGTAAGATATCCTCGAGCCGCAGCAGTACTGGATCGCGACGTCTACGTGGACGATATCTGCACGGGTGCTGATAGCGTGGAGCAGGCGCTAATTCTACGAGACGAGTTGATCGCGATCATGGGTTCAGGAGGTTACGAGTTGCGGAAATGGTTGTCCAGTTGCCCAGAGCTCCTGGCCGGTTTGCCAGGCGAGTTCCATCAGGACCCGCACCTCTTTGAGAACCCGGACAATCCAAATACGTTGGGCATCCTCGGGGTGCAATATAGGCCAACGCATGACGTATTCACGTACAAGATCGAGCCCGACCTTTGGAGAAAACTTGGACTAAGCGGTCGGTACTGTCGACAATCGCTAGAACGTTCGATCCTAACGGATGGATCGCCCCGGTTACGTTCATGGCGAAGTGCTTTTACAAAGGTTGTGGCTAGCCAACTTAGGATGGGACGACCAACTCTCCGGAGAGTTGTTGAAGGATTGGCTCAAGTTTGTGACCACCTTACCAGGGATTGTGCACATCGCGATACCCCGCAAGTTAGTCCCATCGGTGGGATGTAAGGCTACCCTACATGGGTTTTGTGACGCCTCGGAGCGAGGGTACGCGGCAGCTGTATACCTTCGGACAGCAAGTTCAACGGGAACTGTGCACGTGCGTCTGGTTATGGCCAAAAGTAAGGTGGCACCAGTCAGAACTAGATGGACCATCCCCAAATTGGAATTGGCAGGGCAGCTCTTCTAGCGCGCTTGCTAAATCATGTAACCTGCAATCTGCGTGGTACCATCAACTTGGATGAAACGGTGTACGCGTGGACTGACAGTCGGATAGTTCTGTGCTGGTTGCAGACGTCGGTACATACACTTGAGGTTTTCGTGGCAAATCGGGTGTCACAGATTACGGGGTCGGAAACTCCGTTAGTGTGGAGGCACGTACCGGGAGAATGGAACCCAGCGGACTGCGCTTCGCGCGGGTGCAGGGCACCTGATTTGGTGAGTCACCCACTGTGGTGGGGACCTCAATGGCTGACTGAGTCGCCGCAGGAATGGCCATTCAACGAGTGCAGGGCGCCGCTTGGGCCACCTGATCGAGGTTTGCGAGTGAACGTGGGGCAACTCGTACCGAAGCCTAACCCAGCTTTCTTGCTGGAACGGTATAGCTCCTCGACAAACTTCTTGGGGTGACAGGTTGGATCAAACGGTTCGTGAACAACTGCAGGAAGCCTCAAGCAGAACGGAACTTTACACCTGTCCTCTCGCCTGCGGAGCGGAATGCGGCTCTATGCTCATTGGTTAGAGTCGTCCAGGCGGAACATTTTGAAGAGGAGGTCAGGCTGCTCAGGGATGGACGTGGAAAGCTGAAGGGAGGAATTGTGCGCCTCAACCCATTCCTGGATGAGCAAGGTATGCTCAGGGTTGGAGGCAGACTTCGGAACGCTAGCCTGCCCTTTCGGCTCGGCATCCACTGTTACTTCCAAAGGGGACCCTTAGTTGAGCTCTTAGTCAGGGATCGTCATGAGAAAAACTCGCACGCGGGCTGTAATGCGCTATTGGCCATTCTACAGCGCGAGTTTTGGATCTTATCGGGACGACGAACGGTACGTAGCGTTGTGTTTAGGTGCTTGCCTTGTTACCGCTTGAAGGCAGCCACAATGCAGCCACAGATGGGAGATCTCCCACCGGACCGGGTGACGGAGGCCTGGACGTTTGCAGGTGTGGGAACGGATTTTGCAGGCCCTTTCATGGTAAAGGCATCACGCCTACGGAACGCAAAGTCTATCAAGGCGTACTTGTGCGTGTTCGTGTGCCTAGCCACCAAGGCCGTCCACTTGGAGCTCGTGGCCGACCTATCTACGGAGGCCTTTTGGCAGCGCTGGAGAGATTTACGTCGCGACGAGGGCGACCAGCGCTGATCAGGTCGGATTGTGGTACCAACTTTAAGGGTGCTGATCGGTGTATGAAGGAAATTGTAACGTTCTTAAGGGAGAACGAAGAAGCCATCAGCACGGGCCTCTCCCGTCAGGGCATTACCTGGGTGTTCGATCCACCAGCGTGCCCTCACTGGGGTGGTATTTTTGAAGCGGTTGTAAAGTCCGCTAAGACGCATTTGTTGCGCGTTGTAGGGTTAACAATTTTGACTTTCGAGGAGCTGGCGACCGTGTTTTGTAAAATTGAGGCTGTACTCAATTCGCGTCCTTTGTGTCCGCTCAGCTCAGACCCAAATGATTTAGAGGCCCTGACGCCAGGGCATTTCTTAATTGGCCGCCCACTTAACGCCTTGCCGGAATATCCCTATACGGAGGTGAATAGCAATCGTTTGTCGCGTTATCAGTTGTTGCAGCAAATGACTCAAAACTTTTGGAAGCGTTGGTCGCTTGAGTACTTGCACATTCTGCAGCAACGCCTTAAGTGGACGGACAGGACTGAACCCCCCTGCATTGGGGATCTCGTTCTGGTTAAGGATGCCAACCTACCGCCACTGCGTTGGCGCCGGGGGCGCATTCTCAACCTGTTTCCGGGTAGTGATGGCACTCCTCGAGTTGCAGAAGTTCAGGTGGGGGATTCAGTTCTTAAGCGAGCAGTAGCTACATTATCACGCCTGCCATGCATAGAGCGGACCGATGGGTCGGTCCGGGGCGGGTGAATGTTTAGTTTTCGTATAAAATGGGCGCGCGGTGCTGGCAACACTGCTCTGTCATCTTGTCACGTCCTCTGCCGTCGCCCGCATCGTGGATGCGAAGTTTAATTATAAATAAGTAATTTAGTGTGCTTTCGGTTTTCTCGTGTGGTTTTCCTGTTCGGTGGGGAAGTGAACCAAGTGATTTTGGTTCCGGCTTTTGATTGAGGCCAACGTGGTCGCCGGTAACATAACCTCACTTTGAGTCGTCGCTCGCGTCGCGGCTGCCGATAGCCATATATTTTTGATTGTTTTCTTGATTGGGGCCAACGGGGCCGATTCCTCATTCGGAGAGGAATCTTTAGTTGTTTTGTGTTGAAAACATTGTTGATGTCGAACTGTGAACTGGTGAATGGTGGAGTGATGAACTGAGGTGAAGCCAAAACTGTCGGAGGGACGGAGTGCCACACGAGCTGGTGCCCGGGTGCAGTAAGTCTAGTACCTAAGTCCCAATCCAAAAGTCTTCCTCAAACCTGATACCTATTTTTCCTGTCAAAAACTAGACTTACAAGGAAACGACGGCGTCATCGTTCGCTCGGTAAGCAATTCGTTGCTGGGCCCTGTTTAAGTAGATTTTGGAAACAAGAATTTCTCGGCCGGAAACTTTCCGGAGCAGAATTCTCTCATTAAATTTATTTTATTTAGCTATAGTAAAGAGCACTACGAATCGTAGTCAAATGTTGTTCCGAGGCTGATCGACCATTTAGTTTTAGATTTTAAGATAACTTTAATTTGCTTCCACTGCGCTAAGATCTTCGCTTCGGAATCAAACAAAGGCATTGCCACGCAATTTGTTACCCAGCTGACATATCTATCCGTTGATTATCTCATTGGAATCTTATTATAGCTTGGATAGATGTCTCCGAGCCATAAGTCCGAGAGATTGATCGACGTGGGTCGCTAAGACGGATTTTTTGGTCGGTTGGCCATGGAAAAATCACATGTCGTATTTTTTTTGTCGTATCTTTGCTTAATTTTGTGCGACAAAGCTTTTTTATTACCCATGGATTAATATAGAGCAATGTAAATACTGGTTTTAACTTCATTACGATCATGTTTTAATTATGATTGTCTATGTCATAGATAGTGATAAAAATATCAGAGTTTCAGTAAAAACCGCCTTCACCAGGTTCGATAACACACTTCATAGACTCTATGAAGAAGACTGAAACTCTGATATTTTTATCACTGTTTTTTTATTATTGAATAACCTATAGGTACTTTTCTGTACTTACACCGAGACTTACACATATTCATTACATCCATCAGCAGAGTTGGAATTTACTGGTCGTGTCCCAGTGTTAACAAAAAGGATTTGATGCCGGCCTCATGATGGAGGCTGAACCTTAAAGAACCTAGGAATTGTTCAGTAGGTCAGTTTATAAATAAGATGAGCGCAACAGGATACTAGGTAAATTAAGATTTCCATAAGTAATAAAACATCATTTAAATTTCCACTCGTAATCATTTGATTAAGCAGTAAAGTAGATAAGACATATAAGTATCTGTAAAAATAGAAACATCATAATATTATAGCTAATTTAAATCCCAGTTATTGCTTAACATTCATTATTTTAGCCATAAAATGCTGTAAGTAATGAAATGTTTAGTCATTAACTCTTATCAAAGTCCGTTAATTCATAGCTAAATTGACATAAATATGGAGACCATCTAGATATGGGTAAGTCATTATAATCAGCAGGAATATAGATATCTTGCTTAGTGGTAATGATTTGAATGGTAATCAGGGATAATTTGCATTCATGGAGAGAAGAGAAGTACCTATACAAACAAGGCAGACTTAACGTTTAAATAAACTGTTTTTCTTTCGTGTCGCGATAAACAACTTTCGTTTAGCGGCATTTAGTTTATCTAGGAAATATAAATGTTTTGTAAGATTGATTATTCAATAAAAAAAAAAAAACGATATGGCACAGTGGTAGTGCCACTGCCTGCGACGCAGAAGATTTCGGGTTCGGTTCCTGGCAGGTCAGTCACAAAGATGATATGTATAACTTTGTGAATTAGTTCCCAGTCTGGTAAGACCATGCATGCTGAACCAAGTGTGATTGTCCGAACGGTACCGTGCATCGGAGGGCACATTTTTCTGTTTATTTGTCGTTAGATTTCACCAGATTTTACAATCAGGTTTACAACACGTCAACAAACTTATATTTTAAAAAAGTTGGTAACAGTAGGTACAATAGTGTTTCAACCTTAAAAACTATAGTAAGCTTACGAATGTATCACCAGTCGAATATACCTAGGTAATTTCCCATAAACATGAAGTGAATTACTTTGACCAACCTAAATACGTAGAATATGCCTCAGGTTTAAATGCGAACCTGCCTGCAGTGGAAAATTTGAATTTTCTTTTCAAAAATTATGTAGAATACTTCGACTATTTTGTGTTTGTATTAATAAAAGACCATCAACCTCTTGTTTAACGGTACTAGTGATAATACGTTTAAAGGCAGAGAGATTATGTCTATACTACCGCCTAAATAGATTGTATCACCCCTTACCGCCGGTTAGTACAGGTAAATGCATATTAAGGACATTTTTAACAAAAAATACTGTGAGAGCCTAAAGTTGATTTTGCAATAAAACTATAAAAAAGAGATGCTATCTTCAATTCTAAATAGATACCTACTTGCCGATCTTAATGAACTTAATCTTTGGTCATAATCATAAAGAAAAAATAGATTTCTATCTGCAATTTCTAAGCTTCCCAGAACTTAGCTGCTACATTTTTCCCACGAGCCGGCCGTGCTTTATTCTAACGCAAGAAAAATCTCAAACATCATCATTATCATCGCTAACTAGTTTTGGTCAATTCATTAAAAGTGACTCACACACAAGTCGACTGGTTGAAATAATGCACATCCTCAATTGAAAACCGCTCTCTGCGCAAGCGCAGCTTACCGTCCGCAACGTAGTTAAGCCGAGTGGTGCGAAAACTAGCGCCACTTCACGAAAAGAAATAACTTCATGTGAACTATTAATTGGAATTTCCTTTCTCCAAGTTTTTTGTATTATCTTAAAGTATTTAGACCCTATACAGTAAAATTTAGAACCTGTAGCCCTTATAAAATTCAGCTATTTAAGTATTAAAAATAAGTACCTGAGTACCTACAAAGAAAAGTTCTTCTTCGTTCGAGTCGTATAACGACAAAAGAAGTAGTTTCTGACACTTTAATAAGAGCAAAATATTTTGTAGCGTCCACAGATAGCTTCCAAAAGCTTGGGCTCATGATGACATTCTCTGGTGTACTTTCAGCTCGAGCAGACATGGCTTTTTCGTGAAGTGGCGCCAGTACAGCGACGCCACTGCCCTTAAGCCTACTTATATTATAAGTAGGTACTTACTTACGGTCAGCAGCGGCGATAATATCGATGTAATGCGAAAACGGGACGCCGGCTCCTGCACTATGATATCCGATCCCTCATAATAGCCCGGGAGCAGGCTGCAATTTTCATGCGATATTAACACTTAGCTTAGTTATTGGCATACAATGTGGCAGGCTTACCGGTCTAAATAACGGTTCGCAAACTTTCGTGACATGAAAGGAAACTCAAAGTTAAATAATAAATTGCATTTGTTGAACTAACTAGCAGATGGTAGGTATTACACTTACTCACATACTCAAGATAATCAGCAAGTTGTAATTTATCAAAATCAAAAATTAAACTGCGCTCATCTACACAATTTTAAAGTTTTCTTTTTAGCTTTGTACTAAGTTTAAATATAATCAAGTCAATTATTTTTGAGATATGCAAGAATAAACATTGTCATACTTCTTAAATTTTGTAAACTTCATGAGGAACCCTAGACTGTAATAATTTTCGCTGTTCTGAAAATATTGCGTAAGTACCTACTACATATGGATTAAAATGATTTTACGCCTTCCCAAAAGGTGTTTAGACGTCATTTATATCAAAATTTATTATAATCATATCACCCATGCTAAAACTTTGAGTGCCGCAACACGATCAGCCCGTCCAGATAGGCAGTGTAACTAATCTACTACAGCCGATCTTAAATTATGGGAAAAAATAACTCACAGCACATTTTATTGCAACGTGTAAATCTGGTTCAGTACACTCAATGATCTTAACGAGACCTAACTCTCGGTAAGATGTTAATGAATCTAGTAATAAACGCATGCATATTAAAACTTAATGGCCTTACCACAATAAAGTTAGATAAGCGTTGTACGCATGTTTAAAATAAAACTTCATAGAACGCTAGTAGATACGCGTGCAAAGCTCGTCAATATTTTTTGTGGTTAGGCCCTAATATAAATTTTAAAGCACTCACGATTTCTTTCACACATAATACCTAGTTACTTTAACTGGTCTTATCGCGATAGTTTTTTTAGGTAAATAAGCGATTTACCTCGAAACCTGACGTTTCGACTGAGTAACATCAGTCATCAGTCATCACATAAGGCCCTAATGATTAAGGCACAATTCGTTACAAGTATTCACGCAAAAATCGGTCAGCACTCTTTTTCAAAGTCGGCAAAATGCAATGTATTAGCTCTACCATGGTTTCAAGTCGTTCATCCATCTCATTCCTAGGACTTCAATTTCTTTATATTATTTTTCTTGGCTGCATGACAGGTTGGTAGCATGTCCATCAATCTGAGCTATTTTCACCCCAAGCTCTAGACTAACCACTAGTACTAGTAGGTACCACTACCACAAATTAGGGAAACGACTCGCGGGACGCCTGTACAGATGGCTCACATAGTACTAGCGTCGATTTTGACGCTAACTGACTTTAACTGACAATAACTGAAATCTCAGGGGAACAAGATGATTGCCACAAGCGTCATATTTCTTGGATTAAAATTAGCTCAAACTCTTAAGACATTCTTGTATCAGATTTTGCTGTTTTGATATTCTTATACTTTGAGAATTTAGGCAGTAACAAGCCATCGTGCTATGTAACAAGTGACAGCAAGTGACAGACATAAAGCAGACATAGGTAATCCCAAATAGGGTCGAGTGAACCTTCTGTAAACTCTATATTTTGTGCCACCGCAGACCCGAACGCATCAGGTTTTTTCAACCCGCCTTGAGGCTATAAGCACTTTAAGATAGGGCTGCATTCCAGGTAACAGACAGATTATAGGGTTTCGTGTTAACTTTGCCAAGAAGATGATCAAAATTGAAACATTATAGTGGGTGAAATTTTACTAGTGACCGATAGAACCGGCTGGTGATATGATAAGGAACAACTTTACCTCAGGCACATAGATCGAAATATGAAAATAAATTTGACCTCCCATACAAAGGACGATGGGTCATCTTGTCCCCCCCTATAACCAAAAAAAATGTAAAGTAAGTGCAACAGATTTGAAATATATCTCAATTTAGAGGTCGTGGCTAATTGTTAATTTTTTACTATGGCGACATTTCTCTAACTCGCGGGGTAACCGAGAAAAATCACATAATGTGTACCAGTTAAGTCGAAGCTCAAAACAACAGATTGTAGGCCTAAATTATCGTAATTACGACGAGATGACACCCCCAGCGCAAATTGGATCCTTCCTTATGAATCACTCACACACGCACACACACACACACTTATATAATATCACGCCAACATCCCTTGCGGGGTAGGCAGAGCGCAAACGACTGCAAAAAATGACCATCTGCACCACGTCTGACAAAAGTTTGTGATTAATTCAGAAGACTGTGCGTCACCATAGTGACAGGTTGTCAGTTTGGCGCCAAAAATTGCAATACACATCCCTTAGTCGCTTTTTACGACTACCACGAGTGATGCCGGCACCACACGGCATTTGTGAATCACTCTATATTTATTGAAAAAAAACGCATCAAAATCCGTTGCGTCGTTAAGAAAGAGTTCGCGTTTTACATGTCCGAAGTACCGTCGCCTACTGTCCTGCTACTCGTCGGCAATTCCACTCATTGCCTATTTGGACTCACTCCGCACATCCACCGAAACATTCTCAATTCAGTCTCACGACTCGGCATTTCAGTACAGGTCTGATTATCTATTACAAAGTCCTTTCCACCAGAGTTCATCGGGTCGTTGGACGACTTGGTATCCCACTCTAAGAAGAAGAAGCAGAAACAGTGTTGCAGATAGTACAGAGCCTTGAGGGATTTCGGCATCTATGGCCTGTTGGTCAGAAGAGCAGCCTTCTGATCTGACCAACAGGCCATGACAACGGCTCGGTGGATGTTTCAAATAGGCAATTTGAGTGGAATTGCCGACGAGTAAGAGATCAGTAGGTGACGGTACTTTAGACATGTAAAACGCGAACTCCTTATTAACGACGCAACGGATTTTGATGCGGTTTTTTAATAAATAGGTATAGTGATCAGAAATGCCGTGTGGTGACGGTGTAGAATAGCATCACGCTCTATCATTCCCGTGGGTGTCGTAAGAAGCGAATAAGGGATTTGAGAGTAGATGTGTATTACAATTTCAGGCACCAGGCTGACAACCTGTCACTATGGTGATGCACAGTCTTCATTGTAACTCTTAATTTTTGTAAGATGTGGTGTAGATTGCCGTTTTTTGCAGTTTGCAGTTTGCGCTCTGCCTACCCCGCAAGGGATATAGACGTCATATATATGTGTATGTGTTTAAGTGATTCACAAATGTGGATCCAACGTGCGCTGAGGATGCCATCCCGTCGTAATAAAGATAATTAAGGCCTACAATCTTTTGTTTTAAGCCCCAGCATAAATGATTACAAAATGTGATTTTTCTCGGTTACCCCGCGAGTTAGAAAAATGTCGCTACAATAAAAATGTACACCTAACCATGATCTCTCAAATGAGATATATTTCAAATCTGTTGATCCATATTTACCCTGATTAGAGGAGGGGGACGGGCTTCTAGGACAAACGGTCATCGTCCTTTGCCGGTCAGCTGAATTATGAATTAGCATGGAATATCCAACTATTTTATCATGTTTTTGCCTATGTTTCTTGGGGAACGTTATTCCAA